TCCCAGAGCAGAGAGGGGACCACACTACCACCAGGAAGAAGAGACAGAAGTGGAACATGTCCTTTGGACCCAGGGTCTCTGTGCTGAGAACCACCTAGACCAAGGAGACAGGAACACTGTAACACTGGACATGGCACACGATGTCAGGAAGCAGTAGTACAGAAATAGCGGCAGCAGAACCAGGAGACAGGCACAAGATGGCGCAGTGGGCTTCCTGTCCAAAGAGCGAGGTGGTTACAGAGGGTGTGCTAACCCATGGAGCAAGACAGCTGAGTGCCTTTGGGCAGGAGGCTTCCTGTCAGAGTGCGGTGCCTTGGGGCACTTGTCAGCGGAGTTGGTTTGCCAGCCCTCAGAGCAAGAGAGCTGAGCGCCTTTGGACTGAAGCTTCCTGGCAGAGTGGGGTGCCTCTGGGCACTTATCGGTGGAGCTTATGAGCTCTGTAGTATTTGCCCAAGCAGGGCAGAGGCCAGGCTGTCCCATGAGGTCCTAGGGGCTTAGGGGCTGAGGGCCAAGGGGCAACAGCCAAGGAGAAGCCTGCCTGTGGGCACAGACGAGAACCTGTCCTGAGTCATTCCTGATCCTGAATTGTAACCTGTTACTTCCCTAATAAACCCCATAATCATAAGTATTGTCTCTGAGTTCTGTGTGGCCATTGCAACAAGTTATCCAACCCAGCAGAGAAGTAGAGAGTGCCATGGGAGGGATGGCTGGTGTCAGAATTGGTAAAAAGTTTGGAGAGAGGAGGTATGTCTGACCTCTGCCTCGTAAGAATCAGCCTTGGGCTTTTGGTGCTGATAATGATTCTCTCTCTTTCCCCTTGTGAAGTTAGACAAGGAGGTCTAAGGCAGCTGCCACACCATTTTTACAGTTAATGTCAGGGGTGGAATTAGTTGCAATAACTCCAGACTCATGGAAGTATGGGACTTTGGAAGTGAAAGAATGAAGAGGTGTGGGAAACGAAACTTGTGATTCTTAGATGGTTACTTTGGTTGTTGTTATCTGTAATGGCTGAAAAGAAAGTAAGAGACATTATGCTGCAGCTAAGGGGAGAAAAGCCGCATCTGGAGTGGCTTGAAGCAAAAGCCAGGCTAGTTAAACAAGATGTTTGATAGGGGTACAGGGTCTTCTGGTTCAACCCACTCAGAGGCCCAAGGCCATATGCATATGAATGGGAAAATTGTCAAGGTGTGGAGAAGGGAAGATGAAACTGGAATGTTTTAAAAGGGGTTATGTATTTATTTGAATATACTATGGATATTAAATGTTTCTCCTACCTAGTGTTGTAAAACAGAACTAAATGTATGATGGAAATGAATACCAGGTGTTAAAGATTACAGAGAGCGTGTAAATTTACCTTAGCCAATACTTGATTGGATATGCTAAAAGAGAAATTAGAGTTTGCCTGAGGAGGGGGGGAGGACATAAAACACAGGCTGTCCACTTCAATGCAGAAGCCTTGTGCATAGAGTATCGAAAACCTGAGCACAATGCAGAATCTTTCCAGTCACTAAAATTTGCGTTTGAAAAGACATACAGACCTATTCAGAACTGCTGAGAGAACAGTAAATTTGCATTTGAAGGAAGGACCTGTAGAAAAAAAAAAAAGACTGTTTATAGCCTTTTGAATTTCAAGCTAGCGGGTTTCGCTTGGATGCATCAAGACAGAAAAAGTCAGTGCCCATCAGAAGAACCTCCGTCCACAATGGAAGTTAAAGGCAGCTGGTTAGTAGGCAGCCTACTATGTTCGCTTGAGGTGACTGCCTGGGGCCACGAGATTAGTGGAAGTGGGGGAGATGCAGCAATGAATAGATGGGCTGCGTTTGGACATGTTCCATTGGAACCTGTTGACCTAGCCCATGGAATATAGGGATGAGAGAGAGAAAGAGCTGGCTAGTCAAAAGTGCAGGGACGTGTGTGGACTCCCAAGCCTACAGGTGGTGTCTGTTGACCTAGCCTACAGTGGCAAGGGATGACAGAGAGAGAGAGTGAGAGAGAGAGAGTACCCATTGACCTAGCTTGGATGTCTAGCGATGAACTGACCAGAACCCAACTAATGAAGACAGAGGAATGTTTGACACCGTGAGTTGGTGTAAATTGCTGCAATTCAATGGCTTGCTCTGGACTGGGCTTTTCTTATGGATGCAGATGCTCAAAGTTCCAACCAGAACAGAAGATTCTTCAGACCAAGGAATATGCTTGTCTTCTCAGAGTACTGGTTTGATAGGGACGGGCAATTTAAACATTGGCTATCTAAAATGGGGGGAGATAAAGGCAAGAAGTGGCTGGCTTACATGCTTTTGTGGGTGTGCTTACACTCAAAATGGGGGGGGGACAAGGGAGGATCCACACTGAATAGATTCCTCTTTTCCTTATGAGTCTGGGAAAGAGAGGGCGAGGGGAAGATGCTGATAGAATTATATGATTCAGTTGTGAGTATTCATTGTTAACAGGGTTATGATTGTACAAAATGTAATTGTTGAAGCAGCAACTGTGAAAGAGTGGACTAAGGGAAAGGCATCGCTGGACTGGAGTCGAGTAATCGAATGTGAAGTACCTTAAAAGATTTGTTACACTGATACCTTGTGAGGCTCAGAACAAGGGAATAATATTCTCTCAGTTAAATTTTATCAGACACCAGAAAGGGTGAGGCTGAGATGACTTTTGGAGAACCTGAGCAGATCAGAGGAATACTTGCAGCAGACCAGAATGGCTGGTACCTGAGTAACCTCACCCTGAGGACTTTTTGACATACTGAAGGACTAATTGTTAATGACTGTTTTGGACTGGTAAAATGATTGAGAGGGGGAAGTTATTCTCCAAGTATGAAAGAACTGTGGCTAGAAAAGCCAGAGGATGGCTTGCAGTACAGTGGATTGCTTTTCTATGGCCTTTCTAGCTATAGTCTTGTAACTCCCACCAAATGATTGGGTGGGACTATGCAAATTAGATGTTTATGGTCCACCATGGGGATTGGACAACTTGATAATAAAGTAAATAAGGTGCATGGCACCCTTGTGAGGGTGGGACCATGCAAATAAGGTGTATGGAACCCCAATGAGGGAATTCGTTAGTTTTGCCATAAAAGAGAGCCAATCCCAGAGCAGAGAAGGGACCATAATACCACCAAGAAGAAGAGACGAGAGCAGAGTGTGTCCTTTGGACCTGGGTTCCCTGTGCTAAGAACTTCCTAGACCCAAGGGACAGAGAGAGAGAGAGTTATAATGCCAGAGACAGCAAGAGATGGTGAGAAGCAATGGCAGAGAAACAGCGGCAGTTGAACCTGGAGACCGGCATGAGACGGTGCAATAGGCTTCCTGGCCTGGGGAACAAGGTGGTTACAGTGGCATTACTGACATAAAAAACAAGAAAGCTGAGTGCTTTCTGGCAGGAGGCTTCCTGGCAGAATGGGGTGCCTCTGGGCACTTGTTGTCAGTGCTAGGCTTGCTGATCCACAGAGCTAGAGAACTAAGTGCCTTCAGACTAATGCTTCCTGGCAGAGTAGGGTGTTTCTGGGCACTTATCGGTGGATCTAAAGAGCTCTGTAACTCTTGCCTAACCAGGGCAGAGGCCAGGCCAGCCCAGGAGGCCCAAGGGGCACTGCGGCCAAGGGCCAAGAGGCCAAGGGCTGAGAGGCCAAAGGTCAGGGTGAAGCCTGCCTGTGGGCACAGATGAGAAGCTGTCCTGACAGAAAAACTGTATCCAGACTCGTTCCTGATCCTGAATTGTAACCTATTACTTCCCTAATAAGCCCCATAATCATGAGTATTGTTTGTGAGTTCTGTGTGGCCATTGCAACAAATTATCAGACCCAGGAGAAAATTAGAGAATGTCCTGGGAGGGACAGTTGGTGTCAGAATTGGTACAAAAGTTGGAGAGAGGAGGTATGTCTGACCTCCCCCTCATAGGAATCAGCCTTGGACTGTTGATGCTGATAATGATTCTCTTTCCCTCCCCATGTGAAATTAGATGAGGAGGTCTGACACTGCCACCATGCCATTTTTACACAGGCAATTCTCTAAAGAGATTGCAAAGACAGGAATCTGACTCCTTATATAGCCAAGCGGATGCAACTCATTTCTTACGTGTTCTCGAGATAAACAATAACTAGTTCTAAAGTAAGAGGACATGAGAGCACCATCTATCACATATAGTTTATCCTATATTCACCTGGTATTTGGAGTAGCCACCTGTGCTTGCTAATTGCCTTTATTCAAAGGAAAATTAAACCTCCCATCTCTTAGTTACGGGAGATAGTTTTGCAATTTGGAGCAAGTTAGACTTGCAAATGGAGAAGTTAGGCTCCTCATGCTGCCCAGAAACTGAGAGATAGAGGAGCCATCTTCCTTGATTACTTTTCAAAGAGATGACTCCCAGATACCTGAGGAAACAGTCCTGACTTAAAAAACTGGCAAGAGGCTTATTTAGCCTTTTACAAAGACTTGTATACATTTCAAAAGAGGCAGACAAAGAATTCACAATCATAAGTTTTCTAAAGTGAACGGTCTATGAAAAGCAAGAAGGGAGTCTGTTTCCTTTTCACAAGAATTTTTTGTTTTCCACTTCAATTTGTATTTACCCTTACAGCAGAAGGAAAATATTTGAATTTGTATTTTTATTTTAATTCTAAGAAACATTTTTCAAAAAGTTTTACCAATATTTACTATATTGATTTACAGTGGTTTATATATAGTGTATAAGTACCTAGTCGTATACAAAGAAGTATGCTTAACCACTGTATTGTTAGGTGCCCAATTAAAAAAAAAAAAGGAAAACACTGGTCTAGACCTTGTGTCTATATCCCGAAAAGTGTGCTCATATAGGAGATACAATTCCCTCTATAGTATGTAATTTCTGCTGCAATCTTCACAGGACAAAAGGAAATGACCTCAGAAGCCAGAAATCTGTCCCACACTGTGACTGAGTTCATCCTCTTGGGCTTCCCTTGCCACTGGGAAATACAACTCTTCCTCTTTTCCATATTTTTTGTGACGTACATACTGACTCTCCTTGGAAACATGGCCATCTTGTGTGCAGTGCGCTGGGATCACCAGCTCCACACTCCCATGTACATCCTGCTGGCCAACTTCTCCTTCCTGGAGATCTGCTATGTCACCTCTGATGTGCCCAACATGCTGGTCAACTTCCTCTTCAAGACCAAAACCATCTCCTTCACTCAGCGCCTCCTGCAGTTATACTTCTTCTTCTCTTTGGACACAACAGAATGCTTATTTCTCTCTGTAATGGCCTATGACCCTTTCCTGGCAATCTGTCACCCCCTGCACTACCTCACAGTCATGACTACTAAGTTCTGTAGCAGCCTGGTCATCTTTTGCTGGGTGTATGGTTTCCTCTGGTTCCTGATCCCAGTGGTACTTGTTACTCAGCTACCATTTTGTGACCCAAATGTTATTGATGGCTTTCTGTGTGACCTAGGTCCTCTGCTGGACCTGGCTTCAGCCTGTATCCCAATCCCAGGGACTGTTCTCATATGTGGCACCATGAGCTCCCTTCTCATCTTTGCCACTTTTTTCTACATTAGTGGCTCATACACCCTAGTGCTCAGGGCTGTGATGCAGGTGCCCTCAGCTGCTGGCCGGAAGAAGGCCTTCTCCACCTGCTCCTCACATCTGGCTGTGGTGTTTCTATTCTATGGATCTGTCATGATAACATATGTGAGCCCAGGGTCAGGACAAGCACAGAGCATGCAGAAGTTCACTACTTTGTTCTACTCAGTTTTGACCCCACTTTTCAACTCCGTGATTTACAGCCTCCGGAATAAAGAGATGAAAGATGGCTTGAAGAAAGTGCTAAGAGGTTCCTAAAAATGGTTTGTGATGTTAGTGAGTCATTCCCACATGACTTCTACTATGAACCTCCTGTCAGTGAAAAGCCAAGAATCTAGCAAGTGATGTGTACATATGGAAATAGGCAGACTCTAATATAACCAGTCAAGTTGCTTTTGAGTTGATTCCAATTCATGACGAGCCCATGTGTGTCAGAGTAGAACTGTACTCCATAGGGTTTTCAGTGGTTGTGATCTTTTGGAGTAGATCACCAAGCCTTCCTTCCAAGGTGACTCTGGGTAGATTCAAACCATCAACCTTCTGGTTTGTAGCCAAGCACTTAATCGTTCATGCCACCCAGGGATTCCAGCTGTAAAATATGACTCTTTAAATTCCCTAGGCCTCTCTGCACAAGTTCTGTGATTTGAACTACTTGTAATCAATAAACAATATATGGAAGATGTCTTAGTCATCTAGTGCTGCTCTAACAGAAATATAACAAGTGGCTTTAACAAAGAGAAGTTTATTCTCTCACAGTCCAGTAGGCTACAAGTTCAAATTCAGGGCATCAGCTCCAGGAGAAGGCTTTCTCTAGGCTCTGGATGAAGTTCCTTGTGATGCATCAGTCTTCCTTTGGTCTGGAAGCATCTCAGCGCAGGAACCTCAGGTCCAAAGGATACGCTCTGCTCCTGGCACTGCTTTCTTGGTGGTATGAGGTTCCCATGTGTCTCTGCTCACTTCTCTCTTTTATATCTCAAAAGAGACTAGATTAAGACACTAATCTCGTAAACCTCACCAGTATAACCTCATCATAGTGACAGAGTTTACAACACATAAGGAAATCACATCAGATTTACAAAATGGTACACAATTATACAATACTGGGAATCATGACCCAGCCAAGTTGACAGATGTTTTTGGGGGACACAATTCAATCCATGACAGAAGATATCAAGATTCTATTAAATAACCCACCCAATCATGGCCTCATAGTTCCTTGATCTCTTAACTCTAGTTACCTTTATCTCCCCTGCACTTGAGCAATATTACACATTCTTCTCTAACACTGGCATATCCTCCATCAATCTTGCCTCCTAAAAACCCATCATTCTTACTACTGAAAAAATATAAAGACAGCTCACATAGAAAACACCAATTCCTCCTCCTCCTGTATCTTTTCTTTGTTCATCTTCCATCTCCTTCTTTTTAGTGCTAATAGTTCCACCTAAACTCCTCATCCCTTCTCTCTGTTCTAGTAATTTTACTAATCAGTTATCAATTTTATCCCCTTACATCATCAATCTTTTATTAGTTCTATCCTTCAGTATCAATATATGCATCACTTTCCTCTATCTTAAAAAGGTTCTTCCCTTGGCTATTCTTATTATGGAGATATTTTACCATTAATCTCCTTCTTTTTGTTACCAAACTGTTCAAAAGAATGCAATACACTTATTGCCTCTACTGTTTTATTACATCCTTCCTCAGTGCTCTGTAAACTGATTTACATTCTCAGCACCCCATGTTTCCTCTCCTGCACATTTAAAAATATATATTATACAACCCTTACTATTGGAAGTGTGGTCTTTGCATCACCAACTGGGCAACTCTGGGGAGAGGGGAGGAGGGCTTTTTAGAAGGCAGAATCTCGGGGCCCCATCCCTGATCTATTGAATTTGTATCTATGCTTTAACAAAATCTTCTATGGATTCATATGCACTTTGAGAAGCACTGATCTACAACAGATTATCTGAAAAGTGTTACTCAGTGGGAAACAGGTTTTGCGAGGCTGAACATGACTGCCCTCATGCTTTCTGCTAGTTCACTGCTGCTTGCTAAGTCATTGTCATGTAATTCTAGCTGAGGCCGCCTTATGTCAGTCTAGAGACATCACTGGCATGTAGCCAATATTGTTCATCACCTCTTTAAAATCTCTGCCCTTCCACTGTGGGGCATAGAGATCTGCTAGGACCTGCTGCCACCCAGGACCCACCTTGTATGTAAGTCTCCTTAAGCTCCTTTGCTGCCAGTCTGGAGTTACCTGCCTCTTTCTTCAGTCCCTTGGTGCCCTGTTTTTGGAGGCAAGCTTCACATTACAAGTTCATGCCGGGATAACTGATGAACCAGCCAGGAGACCGAGGAAACGGCAAGTGGGAGTGAGGCCTCTGTGGGGGAAATCCCGGGTTGGCTAGCAACCTCCATGTGAGGAGGTTTTGCCCATTTGATGTATATGGAATACTGCATGGGTATTCCCAAAAATGCCAAGCAGCATATCATGGTTGTGGGAAGACGCACACCTTCATAAGTATGAATGGAAGCTAGGAAAGCAGTAGCAGTTGTAGGTTGGCCACTGCTCTGGGCTACTCAGTTGGCCACCAAAACCAAGCTAGCTGTTGAAGCACGTGTAAGAGCTTTGTAGGAAGAGTTACAGTTAGAAAGGGATGTGTAGTAGTTGTATGTGGCCAAGGCTGACATATTCAGCAACTGTGTCTGTGAACAGGATGAGCAACTGGAAACTCTCTCCTGCAGATTTATAAAGATGAGGGGAAGGAAAGTGCCAAACATGAAGATCAGGGCAGTGTTGATGAAAGGTGACTGAGACAAGAAAATGTAGAATCCTTGGGAGAATGAGTCTAGGGACTTCAGAAGTGGAGATAATAGTAGCCTGGCTTTGCAGACTGGCCCCTCTGGGCACAGTCGCTCAACCCATAAAATCAAAGTTCTCCGAGAGCCAGACGACCCTAGAAAGAAATTCCGTCCGACGGTTCTATGACAGTGCAGGAATACATCCCCACTGAGTTGATTGAATTGTGTAGGGAATTCCAGCAGAAAGGAAAGGAAACCATTGAAGCTTGGTTATTACGTTTGTAGGGTATTGGGGAGACAGTGTCTATTTAAACAGAGCCAAGGCAGAAAAAATGAGTAGTGAAACTACCCATCCCACCCTACAGCAGTGTTTACACGCAGCATAGAATACAGATGGCATACATGCCCTCATGGACTGGATCATCTTGTGTTACAAAAAAGTGTGGCCAAACGAGGGGGATCTGCAGAGTATGTTTGGGAAGTGCTCTTCCATAGAGGAGTTACAGCAACTACTACAGGAGCTAGGTATGCTCCACATCATTTATGCCGAGCACTTCCATGGACCAGACAATGAACTCTTTATTGCAGGAATGAGACCAAAGATCCCACAGGCAGCCCCACCCACCCGGTACAGCATGCTGGTAGCCATAGTTAGTTCCTTAGTGGGCCAGACGGTCTGGCAGGTGGGAGAAGCTGTAGCCAACTTGGGTGAAACTGAGAGGGCTGGAGAGAAGGAGGTGCGAACCATGGGAAGAGAGAAAAGAAAGGCTGAAAACCCTGTGAGATGACTATCCAAGGGCTCCTTAAAAGTAATCTGAACGCAGATGTGGGTGGCCTTAGTGGCTACCAGGATGGCAGTGGAAACTATAGATAAAAACTGAATGCGATTTTGGAAAACCTTTGGAAGAATCTGAAGCCGGAGCAACAAAACTGCCCTCTGGGTCCCACTGTCTCTCATGAAGAAGTGCCCCTTGAAACCGGCTGCACCCCACCAATACTGACAACTAGGAGTGGGCCCGAGGTAACCCACAGATCAGGGCCATGCAATGGGACTGGAGGCCCCATGTAGACATCACAATACAATGGAGAAGAACAAACAAGCAGCAGGTGCTAGCTCTGGTTGATACGGGGGCGGAGTGCAGCATTATCTTTGGAAACCCTGAATGGTTTTGAGGACTCCCCTTGGCAGTTGATGGGCACTGCAGAAAGTCCATTTGTGTATGTCAGGTACTCCTGACCCTACAACTAGGATGTGCTTCCCCTAAACCATGTCAGGTTTATATTTCCCCAATACCAGAATATATTCTAGGGGTGGATGTCCTCATGGGACTGACTTTGACCACATCTGTCAGAGAATTCTGGCTGCAAATGAGGGTGGCAAAAGTAGTCTTGAGGGGGAACACGGTATGGGAACCAGTGAGCCTGCCACCACCACCAAGAGCAGTAGACATGAGGCAATATAAGTTTCCCAGAGGACATAAGGAAATCTGTGAAACCGTTCTGGAATAGAAAAGGACAGGCTTCCCTTGGGAAGTCCACAGTGCTTTTAATAGCCCTGTGTGGCCTGTGAAGAAACCATCTGGGTCCTGGCATATGACCATGGACTATAGAGAACTTAATAAGATGATCCCTCCTACGCATGCTGTAGTCCCAAACTTAACTTCTTTGTTGGAGACCTTTAGTAGAGACCTGTGCTTGTGTCTTGCTGTGTTGGACCTTGCCAATGCATTCTTTAGCATCCCTCTCAAGATCCACTGAAGATCACTTTGCCCTCACCTGGGATGGACAGCAGTGGATGTTTCAGGAGCCACCCCAAGGGTATCTACATAGTCCCACCATTTGCCACGGTATGGTTGCTATGGATCGAACTCTTTTTCCTTTCCTACTACTATCTGTTGGTTTCATTACATTTATGATATCATGTTAATTGCTGAAGATGTTTCTCTCTTATAAAAGTATCTAGACACCCCAATCATCCACCTACAGGGGAGAGGATGGGCTGTGAATCCCCAAAAGATACAGGGGCTGGAAACATCAGTAAAATTCTTAAGGGTAGTCTGGTCAGCAGCCCATTCACCTCTTTCCCCACTGGGAAACCAAGAAGCAGACACTATAGCACAGGTTAGAGCAGTGCATCCCAAAGGGAAAGGTGCCCACTAGATTCATCAGAAAAGTGGACACCATAGTGCCTGTGTTTTTTTGAAAACAGCTAAAAAGACAGGCATAACAGTGAAGTATAGTGATTTAGTGGTAGCTGTACAAAATTGCCCCGTGTGCTCATGCCAATGCCCAAGACTGGCAAGTAGATTTTATAGGGTCCCTATCCCCCGGGGAAGGAGCAAAATACACTCTTGTTTGTGTGGCCACTGTTATCAGCTTGACACAGGTGTCCTGTGTAAATGAGCAAACTAGGCTTCTACAATAAAAAGACTACAAAAAATTGAGTGTTTTGTAAGGAATACCATGAAGTATTGATAGTGACCAGGGTACACACTTTACAGGTCACGATGTGTGCAAATGGACGGCCAAAAACAAAGTA